ATGTCATGGATATATACATTTATCTCAATAGTTACTTATATGATTAAGTAGACGTATGTAAATATAGAATAATTTCATAAAGTCTTCTAGGAAAGCTTCCTAGAAACTATATAGATGTGGTTTTGACTTTAGATGTATTTGTAGGTTAGAAACTTGGCCAAAAAGATAACCATGTATTAGTAGCTTGTGGAACAAGCCAACTATGTGGTGCATACATAGATAACTTGCCTTGCAAGATAAGATATGTGGCTAGCAAAGTCAAGACATGTTGGAGGTGCTATAGGACATCGCCACGTAGCTCTTAGTTAGATAGAATATATGGAGGTAAGAGTGAAGCCTTCTTTACTCTTGCCAACGCCTTTCTAGTCTTAGTCTTGTTTTAAGTCTTTTTAGTCTTCTTATTTTTGGCAATAGCCATTCTAGTTAGTATTACATTATCTTATGAGTGACTTTCTAGTTTTTTTCAGTGATAGAAGAGTGTATTGAGGATTCTCTTTTTTAGAGATTCATGTCATTGACAGATCATCATAAAGTATGGTTATTTCATTGTAATATTAAAATAATTTGTATTTGTAACAAGTTAGATTATCATAGATTTGGATCATTTTGTACTTGTGAACAAGTCAATCTAGTCACTTATTGATTATATCTATTGAAGCCTATGAAAATACATCTCATATTTCATATATCTTTTTTGAAGCTATATAAGACAATAAATATCCCGAGAAGAAGACAAATACCACCACCTCTTATAAGAATGGATAATAATCAAGAATTTGAGGTAGAAGAAGACTTAAACTTAAGCCAACTCCAACATAGGTTGGAATATCTAATTCATTTGTATATATATAATATTAAAGTATGTACATGAGAGCCAATAAAATTTTTTTTACAAATACATTAAAGAAAGTCAAAGTTTTTATTAACAACACTCATTAAAATTAAGATAAAAGATAACAAATCTTTATTATAAAAGAAACCCAATTTAGAAAAGATTGTATTCTATCTTTTATCCTTGTTTGTAATTTTTGTGTAATTATAGAATTAAGGAGATGGAGAACCAATAGCCAACAAATTCAACTCAAGAGTCATCATTTGCTAATTTATTAGATGAGACATTGTAATTATTACAGACTTCAAGATGCCATAATAGAAATAAAGATCTTCAAAAGTAACATGTTCTTCCTCCAATAGATGATGAGATACAACATGTTTGATATCATGACTTGAGAAGAGAGCCTTAATGTTTGGTGATTTTATTAGAGGTAGGAATAAATCTTCATGGTGTTACAAATATTTTTTTTGAAGGAAGTTACGAAGGTTTTAACAATGATCAAATAACAAGGTGGTCTTCTTGCCTATAAGGCACTGTCAATGATTGAGAAGACCTATCAACTACCTTCAAAGAGAACAAAGATTAGAGTACATTGCAAATACAATGTGCTACATCTTAGACTTCCTCAACATGTGATCATCACTCTTTGTGGGATTCATCTCTAAAAAGAGAAATAATGTCATAAAAATATATTTATAATAATTATTATTTATGTAATATGAATTAGTAGAAATAAATAAAAATAGATTAATTTTATAATATCTTTTAAAAAAGCTTCTTAACAACTTTATAGATGCTACTAAGATTTTACATGTGTTTGTAGTTCATTGATTAGTTAAAAACTTGGTCAATAAGTTAACGATGTGTCACACGTATTGGTAGCTTGTAAAATAAGCTAATTATATGGCATCCATATAAAAAACTTACCTTGCAAGTTAAGATACATGTCATGTAAAGTCAACATGTTTTGGAGGTCTATAATATGTTGCTATGTAATTCCTAGATGGATCGTATATATACAAGTAAAAGTGAAGCCTTCTTCACTCTTGTTAATTTTTTTTCTTACATTTAGTTTGGTTTCAAGAGTCTCTAGTTTTCTTATCTTTTGGCAATAGCCGTTCCAATTTCTTTTTAATATATATACTTCTTTATTTTTATTTTATCATATTTCTTTAAAAAAGTCTCACTTATTTTTTTTGCTTTCATCAAGTTCTTGTCCTTGATAGTTATTTAAGTAATAAAGTATTTCTAAAATAAGTATTAATATTACCAAAATAATCTTATATATATTAAATATATAAATTATAACTATAATTATATATATTTTTTTAAAATTTTAAAATCATAATATAAATTAAAATATTAAAATATGTAATAAAAAATAATTTGATGCATTTAATAACATTTTTTTTATTTTATAGGAAAAATTTAAAATATACTACTTGAGTATCTTAAAATATCAAGAATATCCTTGAATTTTTATAATAGCAAACATATTGCTTAAGGTAATATCCTAGCATATGTTCACTTCATCGTTATTTAAAATTTGTAATTGCCAAAAGCCTATTTTGCAAGTAAGTTAAAAGGCACACCAATAATTTGTATACATCCATATATCATCTGCACCATTTTAGAAATTAGCTACCAAATGGTCATGTTTATTTAAATTTGGCTTATTCAAGTAGAGATGCTCAATAATATAATAGATTCTTCAAATTAACTCTAATTGTATCAAAGCATTTAGTATAGAAACTTAAGTCACATTTTAAGGTTGCAAAACTTTGTAATTGATTAGATAGGTCCAAAAATATCTTTATCAAAGATTTTCATGCCTTCTTATATATTAATAAAGATGGTTGGTTTGATGTAGTAGTCATTGTTCTTCAAACGACCTCTACTTATAAATCAATGTTACAATTTGTATTAGAAAATGAAAAGATTTAAATTGCTATGAATATCTAAATTGTAGGAATTAAAGATGGAATACAAATATATTGATTGTCACATGTGAGAAGGTTGGCACCTTATTTTATATTGCTTTCAATATAATCAAAAACCTTATAGAAGTGGTCCTTGTCTACTTGAAGACCATATTCCATGTCCTTCTTAAATAGATCATTGATGATGCGCTTTCAATGCGCATGCCTTGGATTTCTCTACCAACTTGTTCTATATACTCTCATGGATAAAGGTACAAGAGCCACCTCAATATCACTAGCCCTAGTTGAATAATAGAGCAAAATGAGCAAGCTCAATTATTTCATCTACATTTGTGATTTCATAAATGATCATGAAAGATTTTCTTCTAAGCTCCAAAGTCATAGGTTCCAAGTTGTTGTACAATATAGCAGCCATGACAAGCTTCTTAATTTCTATTGACCTTTTGAAGGACACTTTGTATGTACATTAGCCATATATAATATGAGGTTGGAGGGTTGTGAAAAATATATTGTAGAGCTAGTTTTGACTAAAAATAAGTTGTAAATCAATCTTTTGGCAATAATATGTGATTTTTTTTCATTTTTTCCAACACAATGGTTGTAGAAATAGAGCTTCGGCTGACAATATTGTTTACATTACATCTATATTCAAAAAAATAGACGTTTTTGCACATAATACAATCTAGAATTTTTTTAAAATATTTCTTTGAAGTATCTTAAAATATCAAGAATACTCCTATATTTTCTATAATAGCAAATGTACCTCTTATATACGATAGGATATTACCACAAGAAATACATTTCCTATTATAAAAAATGTAAAAGTATTCTTAATATTTCAGGATATTTAAGGAACATATTTGAATTTTTTTATACTTTATACTATATCCAAAAGCCAACGTCTTTTAAAGCAAGTG